CTAATACAAAAAATTATTTGCTTTCTTTCATGTAGTTGTTTATTATATCATCAATTTGTCTTTATTTCATTGAAAAACAAATAAATAAACTTCATATTGGAAAACATTTTCTCTTATATGAAATGAAAAAACAATAGCAAATTGATTATTACATATGAATCTTTTCAGTCCAGGGTAATGCGAGTCCGTCTCGACGAGCGTTATTTATACTTTTATGTTTATCTTCAGTTAGACATTGATATTATATTTTTGTGTTTACTTCTAGTTAGACCTGAATATTATACTTTTATCTTTATTCCCAGTGTGCCATCAAACTAGATTTCAGAGATTACCTATAAAGCTTGATGTTTTCTGTAACGCGATACTGTATTTACCGAGAAATATAAAAGGATGAGGAAAATACAGTATCGGGGCGACTCCTTTGGATTAAATAAAAGACACATCAACTACATATCATCGCTTCCATCAGAAATCGTCACAATTGTCTGAACGGTGTTGATAATCAGTGCGTGTGTTCATAAGAATAAAATCGTTGGGTGAGGGTGAGGGTGTAATGCATATGTTGCTTTGGATACCTTCTCTCTCAACTGATACCTTTGACATGCCATCAAGATGTTTTAACTGTTTGTGCTCAATTTGTCCGATAAAGAAAGTTTTTCTCCAACTAAAATATATGATTTAAAAGAAATGCCTGTGCAATCAAAGACAAAGTCGAGAAATGATCAGACATGATGCCGTATATTTCCTTTCCTGACTTTTACGAATTAATATTCATAGGGAATATTTACATCGGAATTTACTTTTTCTAAACCATATCAAATTGCTGCATGACATAGGAGATTCAATAAAACATTTCTTCTATGTATCTGTTAAACGTGCCGACAAGAATGAGTCAAATCGTGTATGTTGACTAGATTATAAATATATACAGTTACTCAGGAAAGAAAAAAAAGTCTTCAGTGAAACACAATGCTAAAATATATATTCCTGCTACATAGTGTACTACAAATTAATGGATCATTTCGTGTGTATAATTCCGATATATCATATCGAGATTGTTTATATTCAAATACAATTAATACTGAGATCAATGAATGGATATTAACTCGTTATTGTCTAGATGGAAATGATGCTGTTGGAAATCAGGATGAATGTGATGAAAATGTGAAATTTACATTCGAAGAATTGAAATTAAAACATGTATCTGGAGAGAATCTGTTCAAATGGAATGCTCCTATTGATACAATTAATAATTACGAGAAATATTTGGGCGACAATGACATGTCAATGAAAAATGATTTCTTTTGTAATTGTTCAGATTTGGGAAATTTCTTTGGTAAAGATTGTTCCTATTCATTTCGTAACACTTCTTCTGATACGACATTCGATGAAATTATTTCCAAACAATTTGGGAAAATGGAGCAATTATCATTTACTTTTGAAATCTTAGACGATGAAGATTTGTTAACATGTTATAAAGGTATTCAATGTGATTCAACAATATGTCTTGATTGGCGACAAATTTGTGACGGATTTATTGACTGTAGAAATGGTGAAGATGAATTCAAGGATTGTCTATTAATTGAGCTGAATCAATGTGAAGAAAACGAATATCGTTGTTCAAATGGATTGTGTATTCCACAAACATTTTTGATTGATTTAAGTTATGATTGTGGAGATATAACTGATGAAGAATATGATATTGATGAGACCGTAAATGAATTAGTCGAGTGTCATAAGTCGACAATGATTGTATGTGATTTTAGTCAATCGCGTTGGAGTTTGTTTCCATGTGGCAATGGAGAATATAATTTACTTGATTCTTTTGATTCCGAATGTGCCAATGGTCGTCATTTATTTTATCGTCGAAATCTTCTCTTATCATTTCCATCCGCACATAATAATAATATCAGTTCTGAATGCTGGTTATTAATGATATGCGTATCGGAGAACTTTCTTTTAGAGTATTTTGATTATGCTAAATCTAAATGTTTATGTAACGAAAACAATCGAGAGAAGAAGAAATGTGTGAAGGATTTCAACCGATATTGTCCTTCGTTATTTTATTTTCAGCATGATATGAGGTTTTTGTCTCCATTTGTTAAGTTTCTGTACGATAAAAGCAAGAGCAATGCTGATGAATGGTGGGAACCAACTCATATTTGTTTCATGAACGAAACTTGCGTCGAAAGAAAAACAAACCCTGATTGGTCGAATTATATTTTTTATTGGCAAAAAACCTTCTCTTTCTCTGATCGACCCACTAACGACGAAAGGTTATTCTATTGTAATGAATCCCAACGATTGATTTCCAAATATCGAGTAAAAGATTCTATCACTGATTGTTATTATGGAGAAGATGAAAATGATCAGATTACTTCATTAATCATGACGTCTCTGAATTTAACAGATCGTTTTAAATGCAAAACAGGTAACCAATGGATGGTACGTACTTTAATTGCGGATTATGACAAGAATTCTGACATGGCGATTAATAATGAGAATTATTGTCGTGATAAATCTTATCAGCTATATGTTGGAAAATGTCGTAGACCATCGGATTTTGCTTGTCAGTTCTTGCGAGGTACTGTCACTCCATTGATATATAATGTATTTCGAGAAAATTGTAATGGCATTAATCATGTTGATCCTCTTGCTGATAATGAAACAGATGAAACAAACTGTGAAGAATGGTCGACTAAAAAATGCAATAATATTTGGGATTGGAATAATGGAACGGATGAACTGAATTGTGTCGATGGAGTCCCATATTACTTAAGTCAAACGGTTCTCAAATGCCAGCATAATGAACATTACTGTGCAGATCAGAAGGGAACTATCGGTTGTTTAGCAGAAGAACGTGCGGGGGATGGAGGGATCGATTGTTTAGGTGCAACAGATGAAAGAAAAATGATATGTACGAATGATTCAGACCGTCCTTTTCAGTGCCGCTCTGGCGAATGTTTGAATGTACGACTTATATGTAATAAAGACCGGAATTGTCCTGATTCTGATGACGAGATAATATGTCCGTGAGCAACGAATTCATCCTGTGATTCGGGACACTTTCCTTGCAAGAATGGCACGTGTATTCTAAGAATCTCAGAACAATGTAATAAAATAATTGATTGTCAACCGGATGGAGAAGATGAGTGGTTTTGCGATTTAGAATATCGACAAGATCTGACATTTTCTTTAAAATACATTGAAGAATATCCATTATTTGATATTAATTTACCAAAAATTGCAATGATAAATGATGCGCATTCGAATCCATTAACTGCGATCAAGAAAATTTCCAAAAAAAAAAAGAGAATTAACAACTGGTTTTGCAATCGTGGGATTATTATTCGATTCCGCTTCTCCAATAAAAAATGTTTATGTCCACCGAGTTATTACGGGTTAAGATGTCAATATCAATCCGAACGAGTTTTAATCACCGTAAAAATCGATATACCGATTAGTTTAGTCAAATATGGAAGTAAAAATAGTTCTCTTTCGATACTTGCTCGTTTAATCTTAGGCGATAAAGTGTTTGATTATGAACGAATTCTTCATGAACCTTTGATGAAACAAATGTTTTATTTAAATTATCCACGACCACCGCCGAAGAAACAAGGAAATTGGTCAGTTCGGTTCGATGCCTTTTTAATTAGCACATTCAATGTTCAAGAGAAAGCATCTTGGCTATTTAATGTCCCTTTTTCGTTTTTACCAGTCAATCGACTTGTCCTACATTTGATGCTGGAAGATTCTCGAGGATGTCAGACATTAAATTGTATCCATGGTATTTGTCGAAGGTATCTCAATTCTCCTTATGATGAATATTGTCAATGTGATGACAACTGGTCTGGCAAATTTTGTCAGGATCGAATCAATTGCTCTTGTGTTGCAGGTGGCAAATGCATCGATGGATATTGTGTTTGTCCTTTAGCGCGAATAGGAAATGAATGTCGAGTTTTATTTAATCCATGTCATGATATCAAATGTGAAAATGGTGGAACATGTTTACCATTGGATGAACGTCAGTCGAAGAAATTCGAATGTATGTGTCCAAATGCTTTTTGGGGAATCTATTGTGAACGAAGGAATGCTGAAGTTCAGATTGAATTCTCATCTTTAACAAGTTCTGAACTAGAATTGGTCAATGTATTCGTTCATTTTCTTAACTTAGAAAGTGATCTTTCAGCAGTGTTGTCTGTTGAGAACCGATTTTTGTATAAAAATATCAAATTAAACCAAATTCTTCATGTTTATCAACAGAATCATGATTATTTATCAGCCATCACCCTCATTGAAATCTATCATCAAAAGTATACCTCGAATTATTATCTTGGAGCTCTTCTGAAGAAGAACGTCACCAATCTTAGAACCCAAATTGATCAGGGCAATCGATGCCCATATGTTGATGAACTCATTTTCAATGAAACCATACGAAAATTTTCTTTGCGAAAAAAATTGAAATATTATCATTATGCCTGCAAAGGAGATCGTGGGATCAAATGTTTTCACGATGAAGCTTCGCTATGTTTTTGCGATCAAAATCATCAGCCAGATTGTGTGGCTTTTCCACGTTCACTCACTGCATGTAGTACGAATTATTGTCAAAACAATGGGCAATGTATTAGCAACATCTTTAATGGCGTATGGGATTTTGCTTGTATATGTGATGGATGCTCGTATGGATCATTGTGTCAATTGGTAACATCAGAATACGTACTTTCTTTTGATGTGATTCTCGGACCAGATATCAAAACGAATATGCCGTTCATGGAACAGCCTTTTCTAATAAAATTCGCCTTAGCAATGATTACTTTCATGGTTGTGATTGGAACTCTATCAAATGTTTTATCGTTAATCACATTCAGACAAGGAAAAATTCGCGAATATGGCTGCGGAATGTATCTCTTCTGTTTAGCTTTTGTTGGACAAATTGGTTTATCGATATTTGGTTGTCGATATGTGTACCTTTTGATAACACAACTCTATGATATTCATCATTTTCGATTAATTCACTGGAGTTGTCTTACTTTAGATTATACTCTCAGTGTATGTCCAATATTATTTGATTGGATAATTGTATGTATAGCGATAGAACGATACGTGAATGTAATAAAAGGTGCTTCATTTGAAAAGACTAAAAGTGTTTGGTGGGCTAAACGTCTCGTTCCTTTTCTGACATTGATTATTATTTGTAGTTCATGGCATGAATTATTCGTTCATGAATTAATTCATGATCCGCGAAGTACAAGTCAAAATACTTGGTGTATAATTAAAATCTCCTCGCTATGGATAAAATATTATCGGTTAATTCTTAATTTGTTTCATTTAATTATTCCCGGATCGATTCATCTCATCGCTACGATATTGCTTTTGAATAAAACAACACAAAGAAAACAAACATTGGAAAAAACGAAGAATGGAAAGTCTTATTGGGAAGTATTTCGAGAACAGTTGCCCATGTATGGAAGCCCATTCGGACTGATCATATTCAGTATAATAAGAGTGACTTTTTTATTTACATTGGTTTGTATATCGAGACAATGGCATAAATATGTTTATCTTCTTGCGTACTTTATTTCATTCAGCCCGTTTATGGTCACATTTCCAATCTTTGTCCTTACCGCCGAGATATATAAAACGGAATTTAAGAATTTTCTCGCAAGATTTATTAGAAAATTCAAAGCAAGATGGATTTTATGATCTTTTTCCCATGAGATACCTAATTCGACTTATCTTATAAGTCGACCCCCGACAGGCTAATATCAATTCGAATATAGTTAGATGTCTATATCACTCGTATAACAAACGATTAGCTAGGAATAGAAATAGATTTAGTTTCTGTGATATAGTGATGTCATGGGATATCTCCCTCCTATAGATGTCATGACTGTCTTGTCCTTGTTGGAAATATCCTTACGGAATATTCCATGTCGTCATAGTCTGTTGGAATATTCGCAGGGTATTTGAGGGTGTGGGTGAGGGTGGTGTATAGGTATAAGTGAAACTAAATCTATTTCTATTCCTTTCTAATCGTTTGTTATACGAGTGATATAGACATCAAATTATATTCGAATTGATATTAGCCTGTCGAGGATCGACTTATAATATAAGTCGAATTAGGCATCTCATGTATTATCAAGTCTATAGCACGCAAATCATACACTTTAATCCATTTGTTTTATAAATATAATCAAAGAGGCAGACATTGATTTTTTTATTAGCTTACGTTCAATCCATCTGTATTCCGTATGAAACTATAATTAAAAATAAAAATATACAATTGATTGTAATAACACGTACGGCCCTGACAAAACATTTTAAAAAATATTGACTTAATTTATCCGTCGTTATATATATTATTCCTAATACCTAAAGAGACAGAACGATTCTGCATTTGATTCTGTAAATAATATTTAATAAAATTATCGTCATTCTCGTAGTAAAAAAAGCATTCTATTCATTAATCCTTTGAGTCTCGACGACACGTATATGCGTCCAAATGCAATTATTTGACAAAGGTACTCCTGATATACTTTTGAATTGTTTATAACGCCTCTCACTCATTTTATTTGATGGTACGACTCTAGAGTAATCCTTATTTTTTCCCTTTCTGCTTATTAATAATACATATTTATATTCTATGCGCTTTCTTTCGTTCTATATGATAATACACACTATCTCTTATTCTAGAACATTCCAATACAGTCACTAAAATGGTACAAGAAGCTATTTTTCAATGTTTTGTATATGGCAGTATATAATGCATTTGTTATTCGCAAAATGCAGAACAATATTTCCTCTGATCTATCTGATTTTCGACTTGAGGTATTCAGACAAATTTTAACGAAGTATGGGCCACAAAGATCAACTACGATCGGGAACCCATCAACAGGAGATTCTTCTCTTTGTCTAACTGGTCGACATTTTCTTGCACTTATTCCACAAACATCACAATCAAACCAACCTCGAAGAAAATGCGTCGTTTGTGCATCACATAATATTCGTAGTGATACATGATATATCTGTCCCGATTGCGATGTACCTCTGTGTATCGTTGATTGCTTCAAAGACTACCATACAAAGATGAGCTATTAATGACTGCTTGAGACAAATATGTAATTGTTTTTGGAGAAATAAAACAATCTTTAGAGCTATCATTAAGACAACTCGATTTTCGCAAAAGAAAGCCGGTGCTGAAAGGGTTAATTAACAATTTTCACCTGTTTTTTTTTAAACTGAAAATAACAGATTTAGCTATTTTTTATATTAATCAAGTTTATTCATAAGATTATATAAAACTAATTAGTTCTCGTGAATATTGACTAACACGATCAACAACGAAAAAATAATCCTGAAAAGTATTGACTTGAACTTGACTATTTTTTGGTGCACGTTTTTTGCTTAGGACTCTGAATAACAATTCCAGTATCTAAAAACAATAGTAGAAAACTTATAAGTTGAGAAAAGCCATACTATGTTCTGTGTTTCGATTATCGACTTTCTCTTGATTTGTAGATGGCTATCGTTGAAATGGTCGCTTTGCTGATGTCTCCTGTCTAATAAGTTGTGGACCATTTAACTGTGTTTGAGTCTGTTGATTATTATCCATACTACTACTAAAATATAGGTTCATTATTCCAAAGGAAAGAAAATAAACAAATAAAAAATATATGAAAGACGAAAATGAATCTATTAAAAGTCCTAAGTTAGTTAATATGATGTTAAATACTTCTTTATTTGATAGTTTTGGTTTAAATGAATATAACTGATACAATAGAAAAAGAGAAGGAAATCGACTTCTTTAAAAACACAAGTAGCGCTCGTCTAGCGACTCGCTCAGCTCTTTCTCGTAGAAATATTGCTTTCAGATATTACATTTTTTAGATATTATTGTGTATATTAATTTGTTTTCAGTGTAGATTAGAGATTTATATTAAATGTTAAGTAGAGAATTAGATCTTCTAAGTCAGTATCAACACAATCGAGAAGATTATGAGCTATTATATGAAAAAGAACAGTAAGAAAGCATGATAGGAAGTATCTGCTAAAATAAGAGAAAAAGAACAATTGCTAGAATAAGTAAGATAAATGTAAAGGATGGTAAGGAAAATGGATATATACGAATAATTATTTTAAGATAATTTGAAACATGATAATACGTTTTATATACTTGAAATAACTCTAAACTCTTACCAAGTATCGATTTATACCAGTTCACATAGTGGAAGAAGTGCATTCTCGTTTTGTCTTTCTATCAAGTTCATCTAGACGTTTCAGTTCAGTATCTTGAGCAAGAGACGGTCGAACTTGTAATACCTTCATATCAAAAGATCGAAGAATAACTACATCTTCTGCTCTTTTTACTCTGCTGAGTGATACATATACTGATGCCACTTGCAATGTCGTAAGTGGAACTTGAAGATCGACTATGATTTTGTTCATTGTGAGTCCATGTGCCTTATATGTAACTTGAATCACTTGTGAGACCTTTTCCCCACCTTGCATGCGTTCGAACAGTTGACCGAAGAGTTGCTTGACGGAAACAGTAAGTTGGTTTCTGACGAGTGCAATAGGGATTAGTTTAGGACGAAGCCCATCGAGACTTGTCTCTAGTTGTGATGTATTAATTTCAACGAGCGCATATAATGGTTTCCGCATGTAAATTGTATTTGAGGAAAATACTTGGCTTTTTATTTTTAAATCACTTGGATCTTCCTTATCATCGTGTATGAGCTCTCGAAAGATTCCTTGAGTACCATTCGAAAGTGCTAGTTCATACGCAATGTTACCGGTGAGAAGCACAGGCATGTTTGGTACCAAGGGTAAGAAACCAGGAAGAAGTTCAGTCTTATTGTCAAGTACATGGATGTTACTTTAAAATTCGCTTATGGCAACTAATTACTAAGTATTACGTCACGAAAGATTGAAGAAAAAATTATACATCCTACTGATACACGAGGTTGTAGCCGAAAAAGTTTTTTCTAAAAGGTGGTCCTTTCTTTGAAAAAAAAAATTTTTCATAAAAAATTTTAAAAGAATAATATCAGCTTCCGATTTCGCGACCTCTAAAACCCTCGAGTGAACTCTTGTAAAAAAAACGTTTTTTTTTCTAAAAGAATATAAAAAACTAATCTCAAATTCGAATTCCTCGATACAAAAAAACCTTATGCCATACGTCTAAGAAAGAGATTTAGATTATTAGTTTCATCTGATTTTTCGACCAATCAGTGAAGTGCGGACACACAAGCAAGCAAGGAAGCAAACAATTTGTTTCTAAGACTCTTCTCTACGAGAAAGGGAATTAGAAGTGGAAATAATCACCGTATGCATTTATTCATGAAATGTTTACATTATGACGCGAAAAAATCCTATTCGTCATTTCTTTTATTGGAAGCACAAAAATATACAGTGAACAGAGATTTTGATAATTGTATGGTGTTTATTGAAGAAAGTAAGACTGTATATAAAATAAAATACAATAAGGGAAAAATCTAAACTTAATCGCAAACTGTGGAATCTTACTAGGAATATTGTCAAGTTTTTTAGATTTAGTGCTTTACGAAGATGTCTAATAAGAAATTTAAGATAACTCTAATGTTGATTCCTATGATCTGATTGCTTTATAACAATGACAATTCTTTATCAGAACATCTGGTTACCTTCATTTTTCACTGATGATTAACTAAGTTTTTTTTTTCTATTTTAGCACCTTTTTACAATGAACTTTCTGATCGTTGATTTTCTTCTTCGAGTAACGTTTGAAATGGTTTTGCTCTGATTGAAGCTTTTCATATTTCGACATGAGTTCTGATTGCTGTTCCAATAATTTAATTCTTTTTCAGCATCGAGTTTTTTGTTTTTTTTCGCAGTATTCAGTTTAGTGATTTTGAGATTAAAATGAAAAAGAGGAAGAGGAGAATATACTTTTAACAAAGAAGGAAAAAATGGAACAAGAGTAACATTAACTAAATTTGCCAGACATGGATCAAAATTGTTCAGTGAGCATATATATATTTAAGTGAAGAGTGGAGGAGGGGGGGGGGTATTGTGACTTTATCTACACTTACACCCACATCCTAATCGGATGGTACAATCAAGACGATGTGATTTTCTTTTCTGGTGGATTATTCTTCGATATTTGCACATTATCGGATTTTCTATAGTTAATTTGTTGAGATTTTATTTCTTTTTCATAAGAAAGCCAACAAAGGCAGCAACCGAGTATTATATTAAACGATCAACGGTTCAGCTGTCAACGCCTCAAACCAGTCGAAATTGAACTTGACACACTGTGCAAGTCCATTTAAACCTTGTATACACTGGTAACCGGCGGAACACTTCATACACGGACATCCACAAGGTCTTCCTAGAACATATATACGTAATTTTTATGATGCCCAAACGAATTAGCCCAGCGCACTACTCACCCATTACGGCTGACATAATGAAACACAGAATAAGGATCAGAACGAAAGCCATCATAGTATAGGATCGGTGAAGAAATGTCATTGTTATTTGTGCTACGCGAGTGTAATTTAAAGTGATTCTTTTAGAAAAAAAACGATTGCAATAATATTTTTGCTGTGGATGAAACGACAATATATAAATGTTCTGTTATCACAAGAAATATGCGTTGGCGTGTATATCTATGGCATCTGCCATCCTCTCTACACAGAAAAACAACAAGAGAAATCAGTGTTGCTCTTCGACTGAGAATCACTCTTTCAGTGACAGAAGAAAAAAAGCGGGGGGTGTGGGTGAGCGTGAGTCTATTATATATAAATAACGCTCGTCGAGGCAGACTCGCTTAACCCTCGACTGAATGACTATATTGAAATGTGTTCTCTGTTGATGTCATCATTGATATTAACTTGAACAGTAATTTTATATACTTGTTATAGCTCTTTTTTCTTAACTTGTCATCCTATAAGTCACTTCGTAACAAATCCAAATAATATACTAATTTAAGATGCAAGTGGGAACATTCATTCTTAAAAGTTTCCTAAACAACTACACAACAGAAAATTGCTTTATATATGAATAAAGCAAATAAAAATGAATATAAACAGAAATTGATATCTATGAAATAGCGTGTATAATATAATCAACAAAAAAACAAAATCTACTTTAAAGAATATTAAACTATAAAAAAATTGCAAGATTATATAAGCTATAAGTGAATATGTGAAATAAATAATTATTTATAGTCAAATTACGCAATAACAATTAGTAGTACCTTTGTAACCTGAAACACTTATTGAAACCATTCAGAAAAACGCAATCGTGTCTTCATGTATAGTTGATCAAGTCGTTCTATTTCAGCAACTTGAGATTTATTTGGTTTCATAAGTAAAATTTTATAATCGAATGGGCGCAAAATGGTCAAATCAATCAAACGTTTTACACGAGAGAGTGGTACGTAGACTGCTGCAATATCATCAGTTTCATTTGGTAGTTTTCAATCAATAACCGCTTTGTTCAATGTCTGACCTTGGCTTTTATGTGTTGTAATACAATACGCAGGTACAAGCGATAGTGCAGTACGTTTAATTGATGGTATTGTCTTTTGGTTTGATTTTCGTTTCTTATCTTTTGGAAGAATATCGGCAACGTCCACTCGAAATATTTGTTCTACCAGCGAAATTGGTATAAGTTTTGATTGAAGATCTTGAAGTTTGCACTCAATCTTCTATTAAAGCATATATTGGTTGACGAATATATTTTGTATTATTTGGAAATATTTCTGATAAATTTCCTGTTGATACAGATTCTTCATGATATACTAATTGTCGAAAGATTCAATTAATACCATTGATAAGACCTAATTCAGTAGCAATATTTTGTGTTGAAATGTCAGGCATGCCTGGTACAAAAGGTAATAGACCAGGTAAATGCTCTGTCTTGTTATCAGATAATTCTAATAATTTTTTAAGCAATATTGGATCTTCGATTGCTTTGCCTTTACATGTATCTTGAGCAACACATATCATCGGTGGATGACCCATTTGTGTTGCATTGTGAATAGC